GTATTCATCGATGTTTTCGAGTTTGTGTTTTGGAATCTTTCATCGCTTTTGGCAAATTCTCGGCTATTATCTCGTATTGCTCCTGCCCTATTTCTCTCTCCTCTCCTTCTGTACACATGCAACTCTACTTACATGCGTTAGACTTTCTCAACGGATTCTGTGTCTCTTAGCTCTTCCTTATTTTTCATATTTTTATTTCTTTATGCTGGATTTCTTCTGCCCTTTCAGTTCATTTATTCTTTCTAGATCTCTCTAATGCACTATTAAATCTATCCACTACATTCTTACTGCTACTCTTTTTTAGTTCCAGAATTCCTACTTCTTTCTTTTATAAATATGCTATTTCATTTTTTACATTTCAATTCCTTGCTTAGACTTTCAAATGGTGTTTTGTTTCTTCGAACACGGCAAACATTGTTATTTCATGGTTTACATGTGATAATTCCAACATCTTTGTGGGTCGGTTTCTGTTGCTGGCTCCTCTCATAATGTCTTGTTTCCTTGGAGACCTAGTCATTTTTGTGCTAGTCACTATATTTGAGGAATTATAGGAAAAATTTGATGCCCAGGATGCCACTTTCCTCCAAAGATGGTTTTCATTTGCCTCTGCCACACGTCTAAATGAGCTATCATTCTGGGTTTGTCTTAATTGTAATTCGAGTGTCTTGGTTGCTTGGATCAACTAGGTGACGGGGAAATTGTGAAATATTTCATTCAGTATTTTTTAAAAGTTTTTCTCATTCAGGGTGTTGCTTTCAATAACCTAGCCTATCATTACTAAAAGTTAAACTTTTTCCATTTTCTGAAACTTCTTGGATAAGACCGAGATTCTATCTTTTCTTCATGTTTGGTAGAACTCACACATAAAACCAACTGGTCTCAGGTCATTTTTTGGGTGCTTCATCTTCTGGAATGTACTTCCACCTTTTGCCTGTCTAGCACTCATTCAAGATGCAGCTTAAATGTCTTCCCTAGTAAGTCTTTCTTCACTTCCCAGTCCCTCTACTCTTTGTTTATGCTTTCCTGATATTATTACATTGTGTCACCAGAATATGTTTATGTTTATGGATTCCTTTAATAGACCTGGAGCTGATTGATGGCTGAAATGTTATATTACTCAGCCTTGTAATACTAGGTTCTAATACAGTTCATGATAGGTGCTTGAAAAATCTTGGCTAAATTGAAATATGAAAATTAAGTTAAAAATGGATTGGTAGCAATCATAAGGAATTAATATACTAACTTTGCAAATTGTATAAAAATCATCCATCCCTACAATGCAACTATTACTAGTAACATCAAAATTATTGCCTCAACTATCAGCAGTCCATTGTCAGTCACTTACTACCAATTATTTCTTGAACCTAGCCCAAATTTCCTACCTCCTCTCTAGAGTTCCTAATTCGCCCAACTACCGAAGAGCTTTCTACTCCCTTGCCCGCTTTATCCCTCCTTCTTACTCGATTTTATAACATGAGTCGTTCAATGTTGACATTTATTGAGCTAAGCTAAATATATGACAGACCCTGAATTGACGTAGAGTATCTCATTGACTCTTCCCAACCACCCAATTAAGTATTATTACTACTCCATTTTACAAAGGGAAAAAAAAGTGTCTTAAAGAGATGGTTACCTGTCCAAGGTCAGGTGCTAAGCGATGAGAGCAGGATCTCCATCACCCAGGTTTGTCTGATTGCAGAGCTCATGCTGCTTACCAGAAGTTGGCAAACCTTTTTCATAAGGACAAAACCGTTAACATTGTAGGCTTTTTAGACCCTACAGTCTCTGCCATAACTACTCAGTTTTGCCACTGTGGCATCAAAGAAGTCCTCGACAATATGTAAGTGAATGGGACCATTTCCAACATCATTTATAAACAAAGATAGTGGGAGAGGTTTGGCTCATAGGCTGTAGTTTGCTCTTAACGACTACATTATTCTGTTATTATTTTCCTTCGTTCTCTAAGTTTTCAGTTCAACACATATTTATAGCATGGCTTCTAAGCACAGGTACTTGGACCTGGATGGGATGAAGACAAAGCCTCCGCCTTGAAGGACCTTAGATGCGGGAAGGTGATACGTCAACCCATCTGTAGCACAAGGCTGACTATGGAGAGGCAGTGCCGAGAGAGGTCTAAACTGACTAGAGCTCCTAATGATTGACACGTGACATTGTGGTGGCGCAGGTGGCAATGCCATGAGCTTTCCAGAGAGAGAATCGTAGGCGGAGACGGTAAGCAAGAATTTTTCTCTCCAATCGTCACTTCTTCCATTCTCTTTACCAGAATCCACTTGGTTCCTCTCCTTTTTCCAGGCCAAAACCCTATGCGCTTTGGTCCAAATCTTTTTGCCTGCACATCACCAACTTTCTCCCTTGCTTTCGTTCCGCCCCCCTTCCTTCTTTCTTTCTACTTCTTTTTACTTTTTGATTACAGTCATCGCCGATCCAGTTCTTCTGCAGTGGGTTCGAGACTCAAATTCATATCACAAATTTCCTCTGAATTTTAATTTAGGTCCATCAACGTGGTGGCACATTTATCTAAGGTAAACGATTATATAACATGACATAATATTAAAAAGTGCCTTTTAGCCCAAGTGAAATATTAACTTAGTTCTGTCAATTCAGTCAAGGTTGAAATCCTCTAGTTGATTCCAGATAGTCACATGCCTGCTGTTCGACCAATTTAACATCCTTCTGTTTGTCATACCTGCCTATACTCCTAGTCTGTCCCGTTAATGTCTTTTTTAATCTTGTTCCTTATACTTGTTTTCTTCTCCTCTTCCATCTTTCCTCTTTCTTGTACTTTTTTGATTGCTGTGCTCCCTCTTGGAGGCGTGTTATTTCCTTTCTCCTTTCTGAAAATATCATCTAAAAATATTCTTCGTTCATTAATTCAACTAATATTTATTGAACAATTACCACACAGTAGCCGCTTTTCTAGGTGCTAGAACACATTCTGGCAGTAAACCAAATAGATAAATAATGATAAACAAATGAGATAAGTAAAGTATGATATAGAAAGTGTTAAGAGCTGTGGGGAGAAGTTCCCAAGGAATTTTGGAGGTGTGTCACAGTTTTAAAGATTGATAAGCAAAATACTCATTAAGAGATCATTTGAGCAGAGTTGAAGGAAGTCAGGAAACCCTGTAAGTACTTGCTGGGAGTGTTGGCGATGTTCCACACCAAGGGACTAGCGCGTGCAAGGCCCTGAGGCAAGAGGGTACTACCGCTGGTGGAGTGCAATAGAAGGCCACTGTGGTCGAGACACCACGGAGAGGGCAGAGACGAGATGTGATCAGAAGCAGGGGAAGAGGGAAGCAGACTCTTCCAATGGAAAACTTCAGCTTACCCTGAGCAAAATGGAAATCTTTTAGGGGGTTTTGAGTACAGCAAAGTGTTGGCTTACATTTTTAAAGGATCCAGAATAGGCAAAAGAAGCCAATACAAAACAAAACAAAACAAAATCCAATCAGGATCATATTGCAATATTCCAGGTAATAAATGTGAGTATTATGGGGAATGTTTTCTGGAAGAATCAAAGTAGTTACCTTTGCTTCCCAATTGAGGGTAGAAAATTAAGGGGCAAGATCTTGATGCGTTACGGTACATTTTACTATCCCTGCTCCTCGAGGAAAAATTGGATTTTGCCTTGCTAGTCTAAGGATTGTTAAACATTTTGAATTGTCTGGAGCACTGCTAGGTAAACTGATGCCTGGCACATAGTGGGCACACAGGAATAGTTGCGGAAATGAAGGGTTATGTAGTCAGTTAAATGGTTGAGCGACTTGCTTGTGCGTGATTGTATCTCCTGCATACTCCGGCCGTGTTTATTATCGTGTCTTTAAATTTTATGTAGCAAAGAACATCAAAAGCGCCACCCTATAAACACATTCCTCTCTTCAAATAGAATCGTAGAGGGTACGTATTTACATATTTTAAGTGGTCCCACAGCAGTTTGTACCGTCCTCTGTCATAGTGGTTGTCAACAGCATTCAGTGTGATGTCGGCCTCTCTTTGTCATCCTCTGTGAGTTCCTTCAGGGTTGGGATCATCTCACCTAGCACTGAGCTTGGCAATAATGCTTGTTGAAAGTACACACGTGATTAAGGGCCGTGGGAAGAAAACGTGTGAGTTACCAACACCTGCCAGAGGACCTCGTGTGATTCCTGAAAAATATACTCATTCCCTTTGGAAAAAAGCTACTTTGTACCCCACCGCTGCAGCGTTTAGCTCCTGGATCGAACTGCGTTTTAGGCCCTTTGGTGGGCTGGGGTAACATATTCCCGCCCGGGCCGGGCGCCTGGCAAGTGACCCTGTGTGCTGGGCCTGAATGTCCAGGGGCAGCGGCCTGCACACTGGCGACAGGATGCTCGCGTTCCCAGAGGGTCCGAGTTGGGGGACTGACCAGTTAGACCGCAGGATCTGGTCTCCGGCCTTCTCCTCTGAGCGCCCCCGCAATAGCTCCGCACCGCATGCTCCATCCCCCCTGGGGGACCGGTCCCAGCACCCCCAACCCCTCGGGGTGCCCCTTGGTCCCGGGGTCCTCCTCTCCCGCCCGACA